AAAACAGATTTATTTTATTTAATAATTACGTAATATTACTGTCACGCGACAGACGCCGTGCACTCGTGAGACGGGTCCCACAAATGCACAAGGCTCGGAACTTATCACATGACAATCTGATACCACAAAATCTGAAGATTAAATTTTATAACTCAAGGTCAAATCTCTTGTAACTAACAATCCATTCAATGAATTTATAAAATCTCCAATTAAAATCCAGTTTACAAAATCATGATTTATTTCTAAAATCTATATCAATCCAGAAATGGCTAGCTTTCTAACTCGTCACTTCCCGTGGTTTCCCCGTCCTCGGTTTCACTTCCTGAAATGGTGGACAAGGAAAAACTACGAGATAACTCAGTAAGTAAAATATGGAGTGCCCAATATTAAACTTATAGCATGCCAACAAGTGCAATCACGAAAAACAGATACGGGTACGGAAACGAAATAGACGTCTCCTCTATAGGTCACGGCCAGCATTTATAAACCTCCCACTGGCGGGCACACGAATACTAGTGTATAATCCCCACTAGTAGGGCCACGAGCGAACCGGTTCTATCACAAACATGTCGACATGTGCTAGCGTTTATAACCTCCCCCCACTAGCAGGGTCACGAATACATGACCATATCGGAGACAAAACAGGCTGAAGTTAGCAAGAAATCACAATTCACAATCACTTTCAGATCATCAGGACAGTCACTTAAACTTTCAAGTAGGCATGCTCAATTTAATGAAAAACATAAACATTTCACTTCAAATCAGTCATGCTCGTGTAAAACGGGTTTAGTCCCGCCACCGCTTCAAAAACAAATCAAAACATGCTTTTAAAACATTACGGTCATTACCATAAATTTACTTACCTCACTCGCATAAAACCAAGCACTCAATCTCAGTGCTAACTGACAGAACGATCAGAAACCTAATCAAAACATCCAAGAATCAATACTGTACTATCACACATTCAAACTGAAATCATCATTAGGATCACTCCTAATCACAATGCTATTTCTATCAATCTCCACATGATCAAATATCTCCAAATTCGTTCTTATATCACAAACTAATCATTTAAATCCCCGTTAATTGTTGACCCTCGGTGCGTGAATAGTGATCTGTGAACAGTAACTGTGAACAGTGCCCGTGAACAGTAGTCACGACGTGAACAGTAACTACACTTCCAAAAATTGGCCAAAACACTAGCTAATTCCACGGGATTTTCTCTCCAAAAATCACAGCAACCAATTAACACTCAATCACATAAATCCCACTTCAATTAAGCTAAATCATGGTCTAATTACTATCAATTTTCTCCCCTAATTAATCCAGAATTTCGGACACAAAGGGCAGCAATTAAATGGCTAAACTTGCACTTAGAGAAGCT